CTAAATCAGGAGACATTTTAATCATCATAATATGTAGGTAATGGACAGTCAGGGACTTTTGATAAATCAGACCTAAAGGTCTTCAAATCATCATAAATCTGTAATAGGCAGTATCAGGCCATTGAATCAAGAGGCCTTTAAATCATCATAGTCGCTAATGGATAGTCGGAGACTATTGACCTAAAAGATTTTCAAATCATCACACTTGATGTGCACACTTTGAGCTTCTCGACCTCAGAGACATGTAAGTTATCATAATCTGTACTCAACAGATGGAGATTATCATCCTTATGTCGTTATAATCATCTCATCTATCATCAAAAATCGGTAATAGACAGACTGAAATTCCTGACGTCACACGACTTCAAACCGTCATAATCGGATATGGACACGCATAGATTCTTGACTCTATAGGTCCTTTAATCATCACAATTAGTAATGTATGGTCCAAGACTATCGACCCTACAGGGATCAAGGATCACACATTTAGAATAACATCATATTACAAATCTGGAAATCAATATACATTCATATCGGAAAGTCTAAGTATTTTAAGCCTAGAGTTCCACAAATCATCATAATCGGGAATCGAAAGTCTGAGGTTTCTAAGCCTAGAGGTTCTTTTATCATCATAATCGGTAGTGGACAGTCTGGGATTCCTGATTCTAAATGCCTCTAAATAATCGTTTTTGGTTAGTCTGAAGCTGTTAACCCCATAGGTTTTGAGATTAATTGGTAATGAACAGCCTGAGGCTCATTATTTTTGAGGGCTTAAATCAATACAGTTAAGATAAACTGTAGAGGCCCGTCACTTTAAAGGTGACATCATCACAATTGGTATCATCGGAAGCCCTAACTGCAGAGGCTTTTAAGTCATCAAAAACGGTTTTAACAGTAAGAGTCTCGCCATTGTAGAGGCGCTCCCATCATCACAAATCGGTTAGACAGTATGAGGCCCGTAGCCTTCAGTTCTGAATATGTAGGAGGTTCGAATAATTCTGTTTGTTCAGAAAACTGTAGGCGGGCTCAGCTTTATTACTATTCATTCAAGCATGAAAAAGCACAGATCCATGAGGTTTTCATTGAGTTTTATTAAATGTAGCTCGTTAGACTTGAATTTTCAAATATTTCATTTCATATATTTTATGTAAATTAAATGAATTTTCTTTGAAGTTTGTTTTGTAATATTTGCCAACTGTCAAAAAATAATATTTTAGAAGTGAATTGAGAACAGTTTCTGAACTTACCAATATTTACCTTTACCAATATCTTGTTAAATTTATTTGTGTTTTGTCAAATTCTTAAAATACTAAAAAGAAAACTATTTTTAATAATTTCGACTGGCAATTTTCGAACTTACCATTTTAACATTTGTTTTTACCAATTGTTTTTACCATACTTATTCCAGGTTATGATTTGCATTTTGCATGATTTTTAATTTCATTTCAAATCATTATTTGGTGTATATATAAAAAGTCGCCCAACCTTATTATATTATACTCCAAATTTTTTTAACTATTGCACATTATGCAGTGCCAATAATTAACAATTTTGTACTGTTAACTTTTAATTTTGAATTTTGGAAAGTTTCCGAAAAAGGCCGAAATATTTTCTGTGATGAAGATACTTACTCTTCAACAAATCATTCTTTTATGAAATATCAAAATTTTTTATTTGGTATATCAATTTTTTTTGAAAATATTTCAAAATTCACCGCAAACTCGATTTATAATATATGTGAAGAAAACTGGAATAATGACAGTATCTCTCCATCACATATGCTTTTGTGGATTTTATGGATATTACTGCCGATTTATTAGGTTAATTGCAATAGGTTAGACATACTAAACAGCATTTTAGCAAAACATGTCGCTTTTTATACGAAATTATTCATCTAATTTTTTAATTTCTTTATCCAGTCCTTGAAATAACTAAACAGTACGTTCAAGCTATTGCAATCATAAGTGAACACATGATCATATAAAATCGTATCGTCTAAAAGTATCCCATTCCCATAGAGCCATGTAATGCAGACAGTCGTAGGAAAAATGATTACTGCAGTATCAGTATCAAGCACGACTTTTAAATAATACATTAAAACGTATATTTAATATCGATAGAGATGGAACTATTTTGAAGGATAAAGAGAATAAATATTTCAATATATTATATATATAATATATTTTCCAATAATTTTCACGATTTAAAATGTAAACTTGGTATTCTTGTACTTTTAATAGTTTCTGGTATTATAAGCAATACACACGTTTACTCGTTTTGGATCCTGTTTTCGTGTATTTGTGCTTGATGATCGTCTTCGATCATCTTCGATTTTTTGGCTCGCTTTTGGCTTGCACTTTTCTAATTTTAAGCGGATTTTATGAAATTGGTCTTTTCTTCCTTTGTGCTTCTATTCTGACAGTTTTTAATTCTGTAAACTAGCACTTTGTTTAGTTTACACTGAGTTCGCTCGCAACAGTTAAAGCGACTTAGGTGACGAGAAACAAGCAACTTAAAATATGCGTCTTATCGCGCGATGCGTAATATTTTTTGTCATAGATGGAATACTTCCTGCGGTATTAATCGCACAAGTTATATACAATTCTCTCCATCTCTTTTAAAACGACAACTTATTTGTAGAAGAATTAACTGCATATGGTTTTTTAGGTGTAAGATGAATTTCTATGTACATATTAAGTTAGTCTCTAGATTGAAACATTTGAATCCAGAGCCAAAGCTGGTGTTGGAAAAAGAAAATAAACATATGATATTTTTAGAATCGAAAACGAGAGTTCTTTTATAATTGTCGCAGTCAGAAAACGTGGATTTGGTTTTAATTTTTGATTTATGAATTAGAAACAAATTTGTTGTTTTTGTCGCAGTCAAAAATAAGAAATTGAATTACTTCAACCTCAAATGCAACAGTTGTAGCTGCAACAACAATTACAATTTCAGCAGTATCAGGAGCAACACCAACAAGCAGTATCATTTTTAAAGCCGAAAGATGTCTTGAAACCACAACCTGAGATCGTTTATTAGATCCATTGAGATCCAACGATCGCGTTATGTAAATTCAATTAGTTTATCGTTGTATATTTAAAATTAATTGGAGAAGTCGGGCGGTCTGTAAGAGAACTTTATGATGTTGCCATATGGAATAAAAAAAACTTATGCTGAGATATATAAACTCTTCAGGCAAGTTAAAGTTAATAATTTGGAAGAGCTTTTCAAAACTTTCACTGAAACATGTGAAATAAATAAATTATATCAAGTTGATGTTAAGAAACCTGCAATCTGATGTTGATAGATCCATCTGATGTTGATAGAGATCTTGTAGATTTATTACGTGAGAATATAGCAAAAGATGAAACTCTTCAGGATGTAATAAGTAAATATACTAAACTTAGTTTGATGACTGATAGAAGAGCAATAGATTATAATCACAAGATGACTAGAGCTGAAACAAATATATATACAAATTCAGTTGGAAAGATACATGAAACTAATAATTATTCAATTCAACACGAAAATTTTAGTAACAATTGTAATCAATATAGTGGTCGAAACAATAATATAATTCAGTGTCATAATGATGGTTCAATTCAACAATATAGGAATAATTGGAATAATAGATTAGGCCAACATGAATATAATATCAATATTAATATGCATAATACACTAAAATTTGATAAAATAGAGCCAATTCAAATCGATAATATAGAAAAAATTCAGGAAGTAAATTTTTCAATGATTCCTCAAAACCGGAATTATCCCTAATAAGAATAAGAATAACAATAAAAAATAAAAAAATATTATGCTTGAATGATTCAGATTTAAGTACAAGCATTATAAAAGCATTTTTATTTATTACTCTGTGTGAAGAAAAAATCGCGTAACCACTTTGGTTTAGTAACAACTAAATTACTCACACCAATAATAAAACTTAATGTCTTTGAGACCTTCTCGTGGAGGGTTGCGGATTTTCCAAATCGTACATATAATGCTATTATGGGCACGAATTTTCTAACCGCTCTTAAAGCCAAGATTTACTTAGAAAACAATTCCAATTTAAATAATATTGCACTGTTAGAATCCGATTTTGATATAGAAATGAATTCAGATCATTTAAATATTGAGTAAAATAACGAAATAGGACAACTGTTGAATCAATGTCAAGAACTATTCTTTAAAGAATTCTTTTTAATTGTTATGCAAAAATACAGAAAATACAGAAAATATTTCCCTTATTATTAATAAAAACAATACTTTCCTAAATTTTCAGTATGTAACATTCGAGGTGCAGAATTGTGTAATTTGAAAAACTGTCACCATTTGCACTATTTGCATGGATTATTATTAACCTGCATTTCCATATATATTTCATATATACTTAACTGGTCTAATTTAGAGTTATTTTTTTTTTTAAAAATATTTCAATACAATCACACATGTGGAGAAGATAAAAATAATTATATTAGAAATGGAACAGCCGGACACCTTACCGGATGATTGTAATAATGTGAAGAGACAGAATGAAAAAACTCTAAAAAGACAATAACCCTCTCTATTTATTTAACTAATCTTATGGTTATTACATCTTATCTAAATAATCGATTTTCATATATTTATTTATTAGTCTCAAACATTGGAACGACTATGCCAGTTACATGACAAGTCTATAAGTATGAAAAATAATTTCAACACTTATTTAAATATTTTTTTTTATTTTTATGTTTTTGTATAAAAATGTCCTTATAAATATATTTCATCTTAAAACTAAACATCTTACAACTAATTGCATTAAAGATATGCAATATACATCATCAAAATGGATCTGAATCTGGTTTTAACTTTCAATCTTACAACTAAATATCTTACAACTAAATATCTTAGAACTAATTGCATTAAATATATGCAATACACTTCATCAAAATAGATCTGGATCTGGTTCTAACAGTCAATGCGTATTTAAAATAGTCAATTTGTTGTTTAATATTCTGAAATAATAATTATGCGAGTCTCTTGCGAGTTAATATAAATCCCGTTTCAGTAGCTTATCAAATGATGCCTGTCCATTAATGCATCCATGTAGGTAATTTTGGATGCTGCAATGCTGCATATCTAAAAATAGAGAACAGAGGGAGAATATTGTTAAAATTGATGATGTGAATAAATGTTCAAATAAGACATACCATAACATGATCAATCGATTAATCAATTAATGAAGTCAGTGAAAGCAATCGTTTTCGTCATTCATACGCGGCATCTTACGTTTCCATACATAACTCATAAACATAGCCAAATATACACATTTTCCCATGTTATTTCCCCAATGAAACAAGTACTGGTTTAAGATTTCAGATTCAAGTAATTAGAATACAGTCAGGTTCTTAAAGGAGAAATAACATTTTAATTAAGATTCCATGCAGTCCATGCAAAATCTGACGAGTTATGTTGGTGAGTAAGTTCCCAATCAATACCAGTCTTGAATACCAGTCTTGATATGGATATGGAAGCAAAACACGACATCATGTTGACACACAAAATATCTAATTAAAAATATTTAAAAATTTTAGAAACATCTATATTTATAGAATCTAGAAAGAGTGTTACTCACACATTCTGGATGTTTTCTTTATTCCATTTTTGAATGAAATGAAGCCTAGAGACCTTTATGTCATATTTGGTAGTGTCTCAAGTTCTTGATCCCAGAGCAAAAGGTCTCTGGGGTATTATTGATCATCACAAATCGGTAATAGGCAGTTTGAGGTATGAATCAAGAATCCTTTTAATCATCGTAATCTATAATGGATAGTCGGACTCTATTGACCTAAAAGGCCTTCAAATCATCACATTTGATGTGCACACTGTGAGCTTCTCGACCTCAGAGACATGTAAGTCATCAGAATCTGTACTCAACAGACGGAAATTATCATCCTCATCCCGTTATAATCATCGCATCTATCATCAAAAATCAGTAATAGACAGTCTGAAATTCCTGACGTCACACGACTTCAAACCGTCATAATCGGTAATGGACACGCACAGATTCTAGACTCTATAGGTCCTTTAATCATCATATTTTATAATGGATACCCCGTGACTATCGACCTTACAGGGGTTGAGGATAACAAATTTAGAATAACATCATATTACAAATCTGGAAATCAACATAAATTCATATCGGAAAGTCTAAGGCTTTAAAGCTAAGAGTTCCGCAAATCATCATAATCGGGAATAGAAAATCTGAAGTTTCTAAGCCTAGAGGTTCGTTTATCATCATAATTGGTAATGGATATTCTCGCATTCCCGATCCTAGATGCCTCTAAATAACCCCATAGGTTTTGAGATGTACAGTCTGAGGCTAATTATTTTTAAGGGCTTAAATCAATACAGTTAAAATAAACTGTAGAGGCCAGTCACCTTAAAAATGACATCATCACAATTGGTATCATCGGAAGCCCTAACTCGAGAGGCTTTTAAGTCGTCAAAAACGATTTTAACAGTAAGAATCTCGCCATTGTAGAGGCGCTCCCATCATCACAAATAGGTTAGACAGTATGAGACCCGTAGCCTTCAGTTCTGAATATGTAGCAGGTTCGAATAATTCTGTTTGTTCAGAAAACTGTAGGCGGGCGCAGCTTTTTACTATTCATTCAAGCATGAAAAAGCACAGATCCATGAGGTTTTCATTGAGTTTTATTAAATGTAGCTCGTTAGACTTGAATTTTCAAATATTTTATTTCATTTATGTTATGTAAATTAAATGAATTTTCTTTGAAGTTTGTTTTGTAATATTTGCCAACTGTCAAAAAATAATATTTTAAAAGTGAATTGAGAACAGTTTCTGAACTTACCAATATTTTTTCTTGTTAAATTTATTTGTGTTTTGTCAAATTCTTAAAATACTAAAAACAAAATTATTTTTAATAATTTCGACTGGCAATTTTCGAACTTACCATTTTACCATTTGTTTTTAACATACTTATTCCAGGTTATGATTTGCATTTTGCATGATTTTTAATTTCATTTCAAATCATTATTTGGTGTATATATAAAAAGTCGCCCAACCTTATTATATTATACTCCAAATTTTTTTAACTATTGCACATTATGCAGTGCCAATAATTAACAA